AAAGAAATCGCACTCATCAAAATCATCCGAGGCCAAACCACCTTGAGCACCAGCGTCGACGGCAGTTGCCGCTTGAGAGACTCATGCGCTCGCCAGTGTTTATCATGAATTTGCTGCTTACGCTCATGTTCTGCTGCACGAGCCCGAGATGCCCTCGAGCCTGGGGTGCTCGCCGCCATGGGGCGGGACGCCTGTGGTCGACGCGCTGGGAGGTCGAGAGCACGCGCAATCAACGGAGACTCAGATCCCCGAATTCGCACCTGTTGTCCGCAATGGGTTTTCCAGGGCACGTGAACGACTGGCTGTACGCCGAGGATGTAAGTCAAACAGTTATTACTCGCAGTTGCAAAATCTATGGGAGAGCCCTCCTTGCTGGCTGTGCAAGTCGTTGTGAGCTCTCCCGTGACAGTCTGGGCTCTCATGGAAGTGATGCAATCATTGCGAGCGAGGGTGACAGCTGGAATATTGAAATCCCCCACGACTAGCCACGGAAATTAGTGGGCCCTCACCAGCGATCCCAGCTTGTGGAACTTGGGCAATTAGTCCCCTGCCCTCCCTACCGACGACAGGCCATGCCAACATTAGGATGACAAGGTTGAATTTTTCAAATGCAAAACTGTGGCATGAAAACCGTCAGCAGCTTCCCCATCAGTCGCTTTGAGGCAGCGTTCTGCGGTGCTGCAATAGAGTGACTATGCCTGTTGCCTCCAGCGAAGAGCCACTCGCCTCTCTTGTCAGCTCGATGCGCTCGGCTGGAGTCCTCACCAGACATGCGCCTCGATGATCTGGCCATGTCCGAGAACAAACGAAGACCTAGCTGTTTAGCTGCACGACACGCGCCAGCAGCAACGTGCGTTTTAAGAAAAGCCCAAAGTCGATGGTACTTCACGCGTTGAGAGAAGTACCTCCAAGCCTGCCACCCCTGGGCCTGAACCCCCATGTACGTGGCGTGAGCCAGAAAAGCCATGCCAGTCTCAGCGTCAAGGCTGGCTGGCTTGCTGGCCCGCCGTTGGTGGCATGGTGGCACGGCCTCAGAAGAGCTGCCGGTAGCCCCCGAAGACGTCGACGCGGTCTGCGTTGTAGACAACTTTGCCCCAGAGTCGATGTTGACGCAGGGCTCGTACTGGCGTCCGTTGGCGACGACGTCGGCGTGGCGGTAGGTGCACAGAGGGCTTGATTGGAAGAGCTCGACACGTCGTGCGCTCTGGCCTCCCCAGCCTGACCAACTTGACGCCGTTCTCCTCCGACATTGCGGGGAAAGGAACCGGACGGAGACGGAGAACCCGCGGCGTTGGGACCAGTTCGGTCAATCTCAGCCCCTTGGTACTGGAGACAAAGCCACCCACGGCCGACGGCGTCAAAGGACCTGCTGTCGGCCCGCTCTCAGTCGCGCGCAGAAGGGGGTAGGGGGAGGGGGGAAGGCTTCTTAGAAGCACCCCTGCTTCTTAGAAGGCGCGGGCCTTGTCTATAGATGTAAGGCCGGCGCCTTCTAAGAAGCAGCCTCCTTCTAAGAAGCCCTCCCCCCTCCCTCCACTCCCTTGTGCGCGCCGCCAACGCTCCGCTCTCGCTTGGCCGCCTGGGCAGCGCCCTCGGCCGCGCCCTGGTCCGCCTTCGGAGTCGTCGGCACCGCGGCCGCCGCCGCCGCCGTCTCCGCCCAGGCCTTCGCCGCCGCCGCCGCCGCCGTCGTTCTCGGCCTCGGTCTTGCGCTTCTGCGCGGCGCGCTTCTGGATGCCCCCATGGGCGCGTCACCCGTTCAATCCTCGCCCGCACCTGCACCTCGTCTGCACGTGTCGAAGGCTGTGACTCTTACTGCTGCAGTCCCTGCACGATCTTTTGCAAGTCCTCCCCCTCGCCAGGCTCGATGCCCTCGAGCGACCACCTCTCTCGCGAGGGCCTCAGCTGCCTGCCTGCGAGCCTTCTCCGTTCCGACAAGAGCCAAGGTCGCCTGTTGCTGCTTCTTCTCAGCACGTTGGAACAGCCGTGGACATTTGAGGGCGTTCTGGGTGTTCTGGTTACGCTTCTGCTCAGCAATGCGCCAGGCTGCCTCGTCCTCTTGACCGCCTCGTCGGCTGGGACTGGTTTAGCCACAGCCGCTGGTTACAACTGTGACCGAAGCGCCTCCGACATCACTGCCATCTGCGCCTGCGGGGCTGTGGGCGCGAGCGTAGCCAGCAGCCCTTGCACTAGCGTCGGCTGAGCGTCCTGCTGAATCTGCTCAACACCCTTCTTGCGCCTGGTCCAAGGAGCTGGCTACCGTCGCTGCGTTGTTGGTGGGGCCCACCTTTTTGCCGCTTTTCAAGCACTTGCACTGACGGGCTCGGAGTTTGTCGTTCAAGTCCGATGCGCCACAACTGCATCCGGACCATACAGTGGAAACCCATGCCAGGAAACACCCTGCTTGCCTCCAGGGTGCCCATGGGTCTCTTGGGCTTCGCTGGTCTTGCTGTGGAGAGCGCGACGTCCCCACACCAAAAACCAGTGGACGCCCTGGGGTCTCAGGGTTGGGCTTCCTGTGAAAAGGCTTCCTGCGGTCGAACTCCTGCTGTGCCACCTCTCGTGGGATGCTCGTGGGAAGCATGCCCACGGAGGCCTGCCCCCCCCCCCCGTCGTCGCCCCCGAGGAGTTCCTCGCCCGCAGGATGCCTTTCAGGATGCTCCCACGAGCTCCGTTCTTGTGAAAGGCATCCGTCTTTTTGTGCTCCTCGCCCGCCGTGGCCACCTCTCGCTCCGCACCGCTCGGCCAGCCGTGCGCGCGCCCGCCCTCTGCTAGCGGCCCTGCACGGTGCCACCCGGGCACCGCCACGAGGCGCGGTGCCGAAGTTTGCGCGCTCTGTCGCAGAGCGCGCATGAGAATTGGAGCCGAAGCTGCTCGAGGGAGGGCGGGAGGCATGGAGGCAGGGAGGGAGGGAGGGAGGAGGAAGAGGGAGGGAGGAAGGGCGTGGGGGGTTGGGGGGGAGGGGGAGGGGGAGGGAGGGAGGGAGGAGGGAGGAGGAGGGAGGAGGAGAGGGGGTGGGGGGGCTGGAGAGGGGCAGGGATCTCTGCAGCGCCGGTGGCCTCCCAGGGGCCTGCGAGGCCCGCAGGGGACCCCGCAGGGGACCCTTGCAGACGAGGGGGCGGGGCGCACCGCCCCCCTGCTGGTGGGAGGGAGGGAGGGGGGGCGGGGGCCTGCTCGAGGGCCAGGAGGCGCCCTGACTTCGATCGGCCACACGTAAGAGTGACCTTTCACCGGAGTGACCTGTGGTGCGGGCCCAACGGAGGGCCCTCTGATAGCTGAGTGCGACGTGATCGTAGTGGCATATGGGCCTGGTGGTGTCCCGTAAAGCCCCGCTTAGGCCGCGCACCTAAGGTCACTCTCGGCTAGGATCACTCTTGCGTGTAGCTGGCGTCGAAGACGAAGAAGCGGCTCAGGACTTAATGGTGCTTGGAAGCGGCAAGACTGCCCGCTTTCGTGTTGCAGTTTTTTTTTCGTATGCGATTCCGACGCCATTTTTGTCCCGGTTCTGTCGCCGTGTTGTTTTCCGGTTCGAGCTTCAATACGTGAGTTGTTTTTCCTGCCTCGGCGAGCCGTTCTGCACCGCTTTCATCCTCTGAGGTTTTTTGGGGAAACGACTGAATACGGACTTGCCGCTTCCGGGAACGACTGAGGCTCAGGTGCGTGCAAATCTCGCGGAGGTCCGCGCGGGTCTCTCGGATCCGCGCCCAGGCCCCCGCCCCTCCCTGGCGCGCGGAGTGCGCCAAGGGGCGGTCCGCCCTCCCTCGCTGGCGCCGCCACCTCCCCTCGCCCCCCTCCCTCGCGAGGACCGAGAGACTTGGCATCGCTCGGACGTGTGCATTTTTTCTTCGGCGAGGACCATCGAGGAGCATCCTTGACCATTTGGCGAAAAAACCACGCACGAAACCGAAAAAAAACACAGGGAATGGACGTCCAAGCGATGGCGAGGAGAGGGCAATGCGCCGATCGGCTTCACGGGGTGAGGCTCACCGCCCACCGAGCCACCCCAACCCAACCCGAAGGCCCCGATGTGCCCTTCATTTCCGGGGGGGGGTCGGGGAACATGGACAAGAGCACACACACACACACATGAAGCCCATGCCCCCCCAACCCGGAACTCGGGTCTTCGGGTTGGGTTGGGGTGGTCTGGTAGGTAGTCAGAAATGTCCACCAGCCTCCGAAGGTTTCTTGGATCCACGCTGGAAAACCTTGGCGGCGACTCTGGCGCCGCCCCCGGCGCGCTCCGCTCGCCAGGGACTGGTCCAGCGCCGATCCACTAAATCCGCGCGGGCCTCCGAGAGCTTACGCATGGTTGCATCGTTCTCCTTCGACAAAGATTACATCGGGCATGTCCCTCTACAGGAGGACTACTATCAAAATAGTCCAAAAAATAGTCAGAGGACAATTGTCTACTATGTTCGATGATGTTTGGAATATGTTTTGGAGCATTTTGCTTTTTTCATCCAAAGTCCGCCAGTAGCGGGACATGCCCGACCTAAGACTACGACTGGCCCCCTCCTGTGACGGCCCCCGCCTCGCTCCCCAAAAAGTGGGCAGGCGGCTCGATGGCGAGGGGGTCCTCACGGAGAGGGCACGCTTCGCGGAGGGTTGCGGAAGGGGTCGGTGAATGAGGCCGGGGGTGGACAGGGCCCCCACCTTGACGCGACGACTAGCGAACTGTCCGGCTTTCGGTTCTCGAGAGGGCGCCGCGGCCGTCATTTTTCAGGCCTGCACCCGCCAGGTTTGGGCCCGAAGTCGTTTTCATTGAACCGCGTTTTGCTGAAGGGGGCCCGGTCCATCCCCGACTAGGCCGCGCCCGATGAGGAGGACGTGATGCAGTCGGGGCCTTCAGATAAAACGATGTGTTTTGACAAGGACGCCTTGCATCCTTATCCAGTCGGCCCATCCCTGGCCTGCTTCGCTTGCCAGTCGTCGCAACTTGGACGCCTAGGGGCCCTGCATACTCATACTCACCCAGTACCCTTCTGGCCGACCGTACTCGCGCCCAGGTGCCCCAACGTGGAGGAGGCGGTGGCGGTCAGGATGCTGAAGGAGGTGTCCTGCGCGCTGCGGTACTTGCACTGGTCGCGCGGTATCGTGCATTACGACCTGAAGCCCGAGAACATATTATACTGCGCGGACAGCTCCACGCGGCTGTGCGACTTCGGCAGCGCCAGCAGCTCTCAGTGGCCCGACTTCTGCCGCGAGACGTCCCGGGGCGTCGTGAGACAGGTGCAGCTGTTCCTGGAGAGCCGCACGACGCCGATGTTCCGGCCGCCAGAGCTGGCCGACCCAGACTTGGCCAGGCTGCCGATAACGGGCAAGGCGGACATGTTCATGCTGGGGCTGTGCTTGTTCCAGGCCCTTGGTCGGGCAAGCGGGGAAGGGGGGGAGAGAAAAGAAGGCGGGTGCGAAACTGCTGCGTGCTACTGGCCTTGGCCCCGCCTCCAGGCGCCTCTCTCGGCAGAGGCGCCCACAAAACCAACAGCGGGAGCTGAGTCGCTGGCCACCGCTTTATTGTGTTTGCTATCCTTATTATTAGCATTGTTATTATTATTATTATTACTACTACTACTACTCCACTACTACTTCTACTTCTACTACTACTACTACTACTACTACTACTACTACTACTACTACTACTACTACTACTACTACTACTACTACGACTACTACCTACTACTACTACTACTACTACTACTACTACTACTACTACTACTACTACTACTACTACTACTACTACTACTACTACTACTACTACTACTACTACTACTACTACTACTACGACTACTACTACTACTACTACTACTACTATACTACTACTACTACTACTACTACTACTACTACTACTACTACTACTACTACTACTACTACTACTACTACTACTACTACTACTACTACTACTACTACTACTACTACTACTACTACTACTACTACTTTACTACTACTACTACTACTACTACTACTACTACTACTACTACTACTACTATACTACTACTACTACTACTACTACTACTACTACTACTACTACTACTACTACTATACTGCTACTGCTACTGCTACTACTACTACTCCTACTACTACTACTACTACTACTACTACTACTACTACTACTACTACTACTATTACTACTACTATTACTACTACTACTGGCGGTCTCGTGCACCACATCACCACGGCTCAACCACCTTGGGAAGAGCGCCCTTGTGGCTGCTTCATTTCCAGTATGTAGCGGGCACCTCTTCTGGGTGAAAGGGCGGGTCTGCCGTGCATGCAGCGGCGGGCGCTTATCCGAGGGCAGCTGGTCCCTACGGCCCAAGTAAAGCAACAGCGGCGGTACAGCAGCACACGGGGCGACCCCAGTACCGCCATCGAGGCCAACTAGCGCAGGAAGGCGCGAGAGGAGGCCAGGATGGCAAGCCAAATTGGCTAGGCGCCCAGCGGCGTCGCGGCAGCACACGGGGCGCCCCCAGCGCCGCCAGCGAGGCTCATGAGCGCAAGTAGGTGTGTGAGGAGGCCAAGATGGCAAGCCAATTGGCAAGACAGAGTGGCTAGGCGCACAGATGACCGCGCGCAGAGCGGAGGCTAAAGCAACAGGGGCCGCGGCGCGAGGGGGGTACCACTGTGGGCACACCGCGCTCGCGGGTAAGGCGGCGTTGCAACAGCTGGGGCGTAAGCAGACCTACAGGTTCAGAACCTCTGAGAGTGGCAGGCGCGATATCTTGGCACGGACTCACGTAGCCTCCCCGAGGGCTTAGAAGTATCCGATGCTGTGAGCCTGCTGGATTTCATCATTCAGGCGGACTGGCCTGCTCCCTGCGCAATGGCTGCAAAGACCTGCGACGGCAGCGCTTGCACTTCTCCCCCGAGGTCGCCACTGCCGCCCGCCTGCCCTGAGGGCCCAAAGATCTGGCGCTCGAAATCTTCGCCGAGGGCCACGTTCAGGGCGGCAACATTTGAGATCTGCTGCGGGAGCGGGTCCGTCGGCGGCGGCGGGTCCGTCGGCGGCGGCGGCACCACAGGGGGCGCCGTCAGCGGCGGCGGCGGCGGGGCCAGGATGGCCGCTGGCGGAGCCCCAGCAGGCGGTGGTGGCGAGTCCTGGCTGCCGCGGGCCACGCCAGCTGGAGGGGCGCTGGCGGTGCGGACGGGGGCGGCACGCGGGGCGACCCCTGCACCACCCCCGCCGCCCGTGAGGCTGCCTTCCCGCAGGTTGTGGCGGCGCTCGTAGAGCGCCAGCTCCCTGTGCGCCGTCTCCAGGCGCTCCCTCTTGGCCCTATTCCGCTGCTTCTTGGTGTAGCCCGCCCACTCTGGGTCGTTCAGTCCCCAGGCGACCTGCGCGCACAGGTCGGTCCACTTGAACTCGGTCAAGCTCTCCCAGGAGAGCCCCTCCATTAGCACATTGTGGCCCTCCCACTGCGGCCGGTGTGGAGCGTAGCGCTTGAAGACGGTGCCCACCGCCAGCGGCTCGACCTTGGGCAGGTGCTTCAGGAGGTCCACAGCGCTGAACACCGCTACCCCCTCTCTCTTGAGCTTGTCGTAGCGCAGCAGGGCCTTCAAGTCGCGGATGTCCTCCTCGGGGTGTTCCGCGTGCATGTAGTACGCACGTGGCGGGTCCTGCTCTTCCTCTATCAACTCGATGCGGACGCCGTAGGAGGTCGCATAGCGCGCACCACAATGGCAGTACCAGCGCTGGCCTGTCTCCCCCGCCGCCCCCTGCTCGCAGGTGAGCAGTTGCGCCCAGCGACCCGAGCGGATCACTGAGCAGCATCCCCTGGGATTGCCCCAGGTCTTGTTGGCCGAGCACTTGCAGTACATGTTGAACGTGAAGCCCTTGCCACGGTAGAACTGGTCCGTGTAGTCGCCCATGCGTCGGTAGGCCTCTTGCGCCGTGGCATTGCCCTGGCACTCCTCCTTCCAGGCACGCTTGTGTCCCAGGTGTGCGTCCGCGACCCCCGAGGCTTCCAGGAGGCCCTTCTTCAGCCTTCCCACATCATCCTTTGCCTCCTCATTCAGCGCGTCGAGCCACTTCTGGACCCCGTCCTGCGCCTCTGCGCCCCTCACCATGTCCTCCTTCTTCTCCAGGATGGGCCCCAGGCCTCCCAGCATGTGGGTGCGCATGGTCTCGAATTTGAGGACGCCATAGGCCCGCGCCATACGCTTCAGCGATTTCTTGGAGAGGCCGAGCCGCAGCAGGGGCTCGATATCTGCGACCTCCTCCACGGTCTTGACGTCGGTCAGCTGGCGCCCCTGGTCCGCAGCATCATTGTCGGGCGGGGGGTCGCTCCCATCGCCACGGGGGGGGCCTCCGGGGCCAGGTCCATTCTCGAGGGGTGGAGGTGGCGCGCGGGGCGGCCCCGGCACCACCCCCACCGCCATCGCCATCGGGCGACCGACCTCCTCCGCCACCGTTTCCGTGGCTGGGGGGGCGCCCGTGCTCTCGGGATCGATGCCCACCCCCACGCCCTCCGTTGACCTCCGCAGGGCAAGCAAGCCTTCCTCGGAGAGCGCGAACCCCACCAGCACGTCCATGCCCTCCTTGATGCGGTCGAAGCTCGCGCGGAACTTCGCCACTCGCGTGGCGGCGTGGTCGATGGAGCCTGCACCCTTGTTTAGGCGCGCTGCGCGCGTCACGGCCTCGTGCTCGGTGATGTTCTGCGTCGCCGCCACGCAGCGCGAGCACGTGTATAGCTTGTATTGGCCCTGAGAACCCTTCCGCAGCTCGGGGCATTGCTGGCTGCGCCCTGAAGCCTCAGCGCAGCGGCGCTTCTCACCACAACTGAGCTCGTCCACGTACTCCACCATCATGATCTTCCAGTCGTCCAGCTCTGTGCACACCCGACACCAGCCTAGGCGCTGCGGCGGGGCCCCAGTACGCACCCATGCAGTGGACGTAGCCCGCCTCGGCGTAGTCCTCGTCCGCCATCATCTCGGCGTCCTCAAGCGCGGCGGGTGCGCCGCCGCTCGGCGGGGGGGCCTGTCCGTAGGCGGCCTTGTTGCTGCGTCGGCGGTGGCGTTTGCCTCCATGACCGCTGAGGGCGCCCGCGGTCGCTGCGCTCGGGGCCTCACTGGCGGTCTCATCGTCCACGGAGCGGCCGCCATCGGCGTCGCTGCGCGCACCTCGGCCGCCGCGGCCGCCCACGGCCTGTTCCCGCAGCTGGAGGTTGTGGAGCGCGAGGGTGATCGCGTCCAACCCGCGGCGCTGCTCCGTGGCGAAGTTGGAGTAGGTGGCTGCCGCTGCCAGGGCAGCCCTCGTCACTGGCACCACCGCCGACGTGGGCATCGCGGAGGCCTCAGCAGGCGCCTCGGCCGCCGCCGTGGGGCTTCCGTCCGAGGCACCTTCGGAGGCAGCGGCACTGGGGGCGGCCCCCGTACCGCTGCCTCCGTCGGCGCCCTCGGCAGGCGTCACTGATCCCGTGGGCAGTGTCGGCGCCGTCCGAAAGGTCGCCGCCTCAGACATCACGTCGAACCCCTCGTCCGAGACATCTTCGCTCTCCGACACGCTCGCCTGCTGGCCAGGGCGCTGCACAGGCCCCGCTTTGGAAGTGGGCGCGTCGGCCGCGGTCGCACCGCTGGCCTTCGCGCGTGCCTCAGCCTTCGCCTTAGCCTTCGCCGCCAACGCCTCGCGAAGAGGCGCCGCATCGTGACTGGGCGAGTCGGCGCGCGTCACCGCAGGCCACGGCATCGGCGCAAGCTTCGAGAACTTGGGCGCCATCGCTTGGTCGGAAGGATGGCGCGGGAGACGCAGCTCAAGAGATCGTGCGAGACGAGACCTCACGAGCCAAACAGCTGCCGAGGAAGAGAGGGGAGGGGGAGAGGCTGCACACCGAACCAACATGGGGCGGCCGACTGCCAAGGCGGGGCAAAGGTAAAACATGAAGACGAAAGGCTGAAACCATCGGCTCCAGGCGCGTGGGGGCCGATCCTTGTGCAGGCGGAAAACGGCCTGACCCCCGTTCGGGGCCCTGGACGGGCAGGAGAGGGGAAAGGGGGGCGAGGAAACCACGTCGCGGGCGGGCGACAAAGCGGACGGCGGGCCGCCGACGGTCCCAGGACCCGCGGGGCGACCCCGATCTTGAACGCCTCTTGACGCCTCTTTAACAAGTGGTCTCGAGCAGGTGCTGCTGGCGGCATGAAGGCTCAGCACGGGTGGGTTGAGAGAGCAGCCCAAGACTAAGAGCACAACGAATATGGCATGGCGGGAGCACGACGCGCACAAGGCAGGGTAGCTGCACAACGCGGCGTGTAAGACAGACATGACAAAGCAAAAGCGCATCATGCACACTACAAGGGAACTGAACATTACCGTGCACACTGCTGATGTGACCAACTTTTTACGACTGATCAGGGCAGCAGGAAGGCGA